GTGACAATGTTAGAGGGGAATACCAAAATGACTGGCTTTGAAATTTCGGTGAGTTATTTCAGCAGAAATTTATTATTTAAAATAAAGATATCCTTGTAATTAGTTATAACAAAAACAAAAACATTTTTGTAAGCCCAGTTTATAAGTATCAATATACCTACAAGGCTAAAAGGATATGCTAATTTACCTGGTGTGGTACTGCAGGATAATGAATGCACTGGACTGCAAGGTCAATCTGAACTGCAAGGTTGGGGGTTCAGACCCACCAGCCAGTCCTTGGAAATTCTATACAGGATCCCTATGGGTTGGAACCAACTCGATGGCATTTAACAATATCAACAGTGTTCTCTAAGGAGTCTTGGTGTTTTTAAGTGGCATTGAGTCGTTTCCGACTCATAGCAACCTTGTATAAGGATTATGAAGGGCAGCTACTGAATTTGACCTGCCGACCTTTTAGTTCAAACCAACTGTTTGATTCAAACCGACTTTATGGTCAAGTGCTTATCAAACAGCACCACACCAGGACTGGTAGCGACGTGGATCACGAGTTGAGCTGCTCACTGCAAGGTCAGCAGTTTGAATCTAACAGCCTCTCCAAGGGAGGAAGATGCAGTTTTCTGCTCCCGTAAAGATTTACAGCCTCAAAAACCCTATACAAGATCACTATTGAGTCAAAACCAACTCCCCCACCACAACCAATGTGCTCTGGCTAGAGCTTTCATTATTAACCAATTACAGTGACACTTGGAATCACGTGCTTTAGTCTATACACGCTACAAGCCCACACTGTTGCTACTGGTGTTTAGTTGTTGTTGTTATGTGCCCTCGAGTTAGTTCTGACTCAGCAACCCTGTGTAGGGTTTCCAAGGAGCAGCTCGTGAGTTTGAACCATTGATCTTACGGTTCAAACCGACGTTGCAGTCCAGTGCATTAACCTGCAGAGCTACACAGGTGTTTTGATAGTTACTGATTTTATCAGATTTCCTGGTGTTTTAGCTACGATAGTGGGTTAAGTAGTAATTGTGAACCTGTATCAAGAACTTTCTTGAGAATGAAGTAGTAATTAAAGGAAAAGGAGAAAAATAAAAGGGTTTCCTCTCAGTTATTAATAATGTAATTCAATCTAGAAAGATTCTACAAAACAATTTTGTTATTATTCATATAACCTAAGAAATATTACATTTAAGGAACTTGTAATGACAGTTACCATGCATTAGTCTATGATTAAAATTGGAAACAAACATGATTAAGGATTCTGTATGGCCTGGTAGTAGAGAGGAGGCCCATGGGGGCGGGGGCTGTTTTACCACTATTTCCCATAGTTCTTTCTTGTTGGAAACATATGTTGCTGTGAGTGTGGGTGCCTGGATATTTGTTGGGGGAAAGAGAGAGAGAAAAACGTTTGGTTTTCATTACCATTTGCATCTGCCCACAGCGGTGCCTTTTATTGAATCACACTAATGTCTTTATGACCCATGGGAATGTACAAGCCAGCCGCCCTCTCCGCAGGATGACTTCTGTAGGTCCCAGAGGCTTTCCTGGTACTGCCAATTCAATTTGCCAATTTCAGTTGTTGGTGAATTCCACAGCACCAGCATCAAATCGACTCAAGCTCTCATAAACTATATAGATCAAAATAGAGTGAATAATACAAAGAGATTCTTTGTGTGTGGTTTGTTTTTTTAGCAAATTTTCCATTATTTGGGAAAGATTAAAAAGCAAAAAGTGAAATCTCCCTTTACTCTAAAAGTAAAGAAAATTATTCAGCTAGATGATCCCGTTGGGCCTTTGGCACAGACGTGCCTTCCCTCCGCCCAGGATCCTCTTAAATCCAAGGCAGGATTCTGACCACAGCTGACTAAGTTTTGCTCAATCCTTTGGCTCCTTCCCAGACCAGCATAGTGTTGACCGTCCCTCACCGGGGCCGGTTCAAATGCTCTTCCTTCATAGCTTTCACAAGCCAGTCCCTCTCAGTCCCCTCCTCAGAGTCGCTGGTGTCACTCACCTCCATGGCCAGCAGCTTTGAGTAGTTGATTTTCCGCTCTTGGGGCAGCCTGGCCTGGATGGTGAGGAAGGCAGCCAGCCAGAACAACAAGACCACGCAACAGGCCTGGTAGAGCACAGCCAGGCTGGAGTACATCACCACGAAGCCCCCCACAAAGCTGCCCAGGCTAGACCCTCCCCTGTAAAAGTGTCCTCGGAACATGGAGCTCAGAGACCTCTCTGTTCCAGGAGTGGCCAGGTCCTCCAGCGAAGCCCCCACTGCCCACCAAAGAGCCCCGCTGCTGAGGGCACTCAAGATCTGGACAGGGAAGACAGACCACCAGTTCCAGAGGAAGGAGTAGTAGAGAAGCTGCACAGCCAGGCAGCCCAGCCCCAGTCCCACAGTGCCCACCCTGGACAGTTTCCGAAGCAATACAACCTTGAATGGATGAAGCAGCATTTCCCCCAGCAAGCTGAGGGCAACTGCAAAACCCATGCCCAGCTCACTGCTGCCATGGTCTTTCATGTTCCAGAACAGAAAGTTCTGCACAGTACTGGTGGCAGCTCCCACCAAAAACACACTGAAGGCCAGGAGGATGAGATGGGGATTACCTCCTATGAGGGGCAATGCTTTGACCGTTTTGTAGCTGGGCTCTCGCCACCGGCAGATGGGGACTGGAAAGGCGATGCTTACTAGCGTGGCCACGATGCTGACAAGAGAGTAGCCATAGAAGTATGCCACACCTCCGGGACCACTTGTCATCATGTAGCAATCCAGCTGCTCCACCAATGCTGTGATGCCACACACACCGGCTGACATGCCCAGCAACCTCCAGACCCACAGGCTTCGGTAGTAGTCAGTGGCATCCACATAGTCCAAGTATTCATAAAGACTGCCATCAGCCACTTGCTCCAGAGGGGCTGTCAGCAGCTCCCAGAACACCACGAACCCCAGGGAGAAGATGAAAGTCCACTGTAGCCCTTGCAAGGAGAGGTCAAGATTCTGTGCTTTCTCCTTGTCTACCGACAAGTTGGTTGGATGCCCCAGCGTGGTACCCTCAGGAAGCAGATGGGGTAAAGTGTTGACCACCTCCAAAGAAGCAAAGTGATAGAGGAGAACTTGAGGTGTTGTCCTGATTTCCTCAACAGAGTCCACTGAATAGCTGGGCAGATCACTGAAAGGCTCTTGGTCACTTTCATCAAGCCCTTTTCTGAAGCTTCCAGAAGCTTCCTCGATTCCAATCCTCTTGGCTCGGTGGCTTGAGGCCCACTCTTGTACTGTGGTGATATCCACAGTCCGAGAGACCCCCAGTGGCACAACTGTGGTGGTCCTGCCGTTGCTGCTTCCGTTACATGAGCGGTATACCAGGTCTTTGTCCAAAGGCGGGACCAGGACCATCAGCAGGCTGGCTCCCATGGAGCCCAGCAGCGAGCCCATCAGAAGCACTCTCCTTTTCTGGTATCTCTTGGCCAGGAAGGCACAGAAGGGGGCCCAGAAGGCTGTGATCAGGTGCTTGGTGCCCATGAGGATGCCCACCCAGGGCGCTGTTAGGCCCAGCTGCCTCAGGTAGAGAGTCAGGAACGGGGTCACACAGGCATCCCGGACCCCACACACCAGGTTAAAGAGCCTGGCCACCCCCAGCGCTCTGCTGATGTCCCATTGGGGATTGTCGCTCATGACTGCCCGCTCCGAGCCATCCGGGCCGAGACGGTGGGAGCAGCTGGGCGCGGCGCCCTCGTACGCGGACTTTCAGGGGACCTGGGAAGGCGGCGGCCCCATGACCCCGGGAGGGAGGCTCGAGGGAGCCTCTGGCCTCTGGCGGTGCCGCGGTCACCGGGTCAATGGCTGCCCGCCACGTCCCCGCCTGAGGCCCGGAAGTGGCCCCACCCCGAGGCACGGGGCGGGGGTGGGGCCAGCCACCTGCTGCTTCCGGTTACCTTCCTGGGGCCTGGGCCACTTCTTCACCTGAGGCGCGCAGGAGTGTGAGACGGGCGTCCTGTGGCCTGCAGGGGGCGCTCCATGCTAGACCTTAAGGACCCTGGCTGCCCGCGTAGCCCACGGAAACCTGGCCTAAATCCCTGAACTATTTCAGAACAATGGACTTGCTGGAAGCGTGGAGGGAGGAGGAAATTAATGGCTCCTAAAGGGCCCACCCTAGGAGCTCTGGTAGCGTTGTTGTTGTTGTGAAGTGCCGTTGAGTTGGTTCCGACCCATAGCAACCCTGTAGAGGGTTTCCAAGGAGCAGCTGGTGAACTTGAACTGCCGACCTAGCAGTTCAAATGGTTTTGCAGTCTGCCGCATTAACCCACAGCGCCACACCAGGTAGCGTAGTGGTTACAAATCGACCTGCGAACCTCAAAGTCAGCAGTTCGAAACTACCAGCTGTTCCGCGGGAGACAGATGAGGCAGGCGTTCTGCTCCTGTAAAGATTTACAGCCTTGGAAACCCCCGTACAGGGTCGCTATGAGTTGGAACCGACTCCACGGCGCACAGCCACCACCAAAGGGTCCACCCTACTACCCTCAGTGACATTCCTGGACACTAATTAATGAAAATGACACATCTCTCTCCCTCATACATACACACACTCTCTCCTACCTTGCTTGATTTTTCTCTATAGCATTAATCACTCTCACACTACGGATTTACATTTCACTTATTTATCTGGGTTACTGTCTGTCTCCATCAGAATCAACGAATCAAAACTCCAAGAAGGCAGCATTTTTATCCCCGGGGCCTAGAATTGTTACACTGTTTGTGAGCTTTCCCTGGAAGAGGTATGACCTTGCTTAACAAGAGTTTTCTTCAGCTGAGAGGATTCTTCATCCCCAAAGAGGGCTGACAGTTGAGGGCTGCTGTCCAGTGCCTTCCAAGCAGCTGGGAGGAAACGTCCTTCATTCCTGAAGGGGATCTGGGTAGCATAGCACAGCTTCTGCCACTGTACGAGGAGGCTTCAAAATGTTTGCATTGAATACGTGTAATCTATACCTACAGGATGGTCAATTGTTAGTGTCTGTCCAGTTGGTCCCCAAATCAGAGCCACCCGGTTCACAATGGAATCAAACCATTATGATCCACAGTGTGTTTTCATTGACTGATTTTAAAAAAGGGATCACCAGGTCTTTCTTCCCCAGGGGAAACCATTTAATTAAAAAACACACATTCCAGTGCCAATATAAATATTTCAAAAACCGTTGTTTCAAATGAACAGAAGTGGTAGTTTCTTCATTAACTACCATAATGCACATTGAAAATAGTTCTTTACTGGTGTTCGAGTTATGTGAACCGGCTAAAAATATTTCAGAAGCTCTTCTTCCTTGTGTGAACTAGAGATACCAGTGTCTAAACTTGTTGGAATAATGCCGTAGGCTTTAGTCCAAAGTCAACCAGTGTCCTGCTACTGATTCAAAGGACTTTTAACTGCTGGAAGCTGAATCCCACCCCTAGAATATTAAAACATCCTGATTGGATGTGGCACTATGGGTTAATGTGCTGGACTGCAAGGTCAGTTTGAACTGCAAGGTCAGCGGTTCAAGTTCACCAGCTGCTCCTAGGAAACCCTATGCAGGGTTGCTATAGGTCAGAACCAACTCAATGGCACTTAACAACAACACAGATTTTTTTTTAAAATCAAAAGCTAAGCATTTTGATATCTTCAATCTCTGACTTCTCTGAATCTACCCCACACCTCCATCTCTACTTTGGGAGAACTAGTCCTGGGTTGGCATGACTGAGGAGATGAGGGGAGCAGGCAGCCAGATCAGCGCAGTTAATACTTCACAAAATTCTCTTCACCTGGGTTCATTAAGTTGTAGGAAATAGCCCCCATCCTTGGGTTTTTTTTCCCCAAATATCAACATTTCTAGGTATTTGACGAAACAGTAAAACGTTTTAGTGTATGTTTATTGAACCTGACATTTTCCTCACAACTGGGTGTGGGTGGGATGGGCAGTGACCCAAGAGAGGGAAAGGAAGCGACTTGGGGGAGTGCAGTTGCATTTATCTACTTCCCATTTTCTCCTGGGCTGTGCCCGCCAGCAGCTCTAACCTTGATTTAAGGGATGGGTGTGGACCTTGAGAGAAGAGGGAATTGAAAATATATGAAAGCACAGATGTTTGTGCTAGAAGTCGGCTTGTGTGGGTGTTCCCTCATGTGGCTGTAGCTTCACCGGGACACACCTCAGGTCTGTGTGGCTCTTTCTCACCACAGACCACGCTAAGGCCAGACTCCCTGTGCACCGGGCACTCTCAGTCCAGCAGCTGCCCAGGGGAGCGGGCCTTGTTCTGGCTGTTGGTGAGCGGGTAGTGTATCTTTCCTCTTGGGCCTCTGCTGCCCATGCAGATCACTGGACGATACCGGAGAACGTGTTGATGGGCATCAGGAGGGGCCTGGGCTTGGCTTTGGTCGTTCCCATCTCCTTCTGTCGGTGTGAACTGAGCCACAGTGCCTTGGACTTCTGGGACCCAGAACACGGCTCTGGGCAGGGAGCAACCTCGAATCTGTGAGTGGAGGAGCAAGACCAGCTCAGGTGACAAATCTCTGAGGGATCAAGTCGGCCCATGACAATTTAAAGGTAGACCCTTTATTGTAGGGATATAGAGGAGGGGGCCTCACAGAGGGAAGAGGGAGAATCGGGATGAGGCCTGATACCTGTAGTGGGGAAATGCCTTTGTATGCTCCCCCTTAACCAAAAGTTCCTGCCCAAGGGAAATCAGTAAGGGCCACATTAACTGGGGCACAAATGCCACAAAGGCCAGCTGAGCTGGAGAGGCAGAGGGGATTGAGTCTGGAGGGCGCCATGCTGACTGTATGTCTTTTTAATGTCTGCCCAGTACCAGTCATTCATCTGCCTCTTCTTGGACTCAAATTACAGAGGAGTGGCCCACATCCATTCCTACCAGATCACCTGCTTGGCCAGAGGCTCTACCTCTGGTAGGTGTCTTGGGCCAGAAGCAGGAGATGGCAGGAGTTGGGCCCCAGGGGCTCCGCCTCACCTGACCACATCCTTGAAGGTGCGCCGATTATCCTTGTCCAGGAAAAGTGTCAGCAGCCTCTGGTCCTGGCTCTGAATCTGAATGTTGGCCGTCCGAAAGGTATTTGTCACTGTCTGCAATGACGAGCCAGCTCATGTGACTATTATGTATTCAGCACACGGCCCTGCCCAAATCCCCAGTCCTGAAATCTGCCTGTTTCTTTGGTCCAGCACATGGGGTTTCCAGCTAGCTGCAAAGGACTCTGGGTAGTGACAACCCGGCAGAAACTGTTTCTAAGCTGCCCTCATCCTTGAGTCTCTCTCCTCAGTTATTTTTCTCCATCCTTAATTTTGAACAGAAACTGGAATGTTGAGTGGTGCTTACAAGGTTACCTACCTAGTCGCCTGAGTTAGAGGTGCCAATTGATTCAATGAACATCTTCTGAGTACCTCGTAGATGACAGTGTTGTTATACATGGAACCGGAAGGGATACTTCTGGAGTTTTATAAACCCTGACCCTAGTTCTCAGTGCTAGATTTCATATAAATTTATTTAGCTGGACAGAGACAGCGTGTAGAAAACAGCTGAGTATCCCTGTGCTTCAAACCAAGCCTGTATCTAGGACACCTGCTTCAGTTTGTACCATGGGATTCGCGCATGGAACCAGTCTCAGCTGGAAGGGTTCCTTCCTTGGCATAGTGACCTGGGACAAGGTGTTCCTGCCCTCTACTCCCCAAAGCCCTGCTCAGCTTTCTCTAGAGGACCCAGACTCAAAGGGCACCCCCACAATGCCAAACTGCAGGGGCTGCTCCAGAGAGGCCCCTCCCACTAGGCAGAGAATCTAGAACATCTTGAGTTCCAGGCAAGGAACCCTGGTGGTGTCATAGATTAAGCGTTGGGCTGCTTATGGAAAAGGTTGTCAGTTCAAACCCATCAGCTGCTCTATGGGGGAAAGATAAAATAGTCTGTTTCCATAAAGGTGACAGTCTTGGAAACTCTTTGGGGCTGTTCTAGTCTGTCCTGTAGGGTTGTGATGAGTAGGAATACACTCAATGGCAGTAGCTTGGTTTTTGGTTTGTGTTCCAGGCTGCTATTTGGAGTCACCTCTGTGTAAGTTACCATGAACACTCCAGTTGGTGGTGACCTAAGTCCACCTCATTCAAATAGTCTCAATCCTGGCTACTCATAAGACTCACCTTTGAAATAAGAACGTTAGAGATTTTAATTTAATGGAATAGATAGATAGATAGATAGATAGACAGACAGACAGACAGACAGACAGACAGACAGACTCCTGGTGCAGTGCTGTGGGTTAATGTGTCAGACTGCAAAATCATTTGTACTGCAAGGTCAGTGGTTCAAGCTCACCAGCTGCTCCTTGGAAACCCTATTCGGGTTCATTATGGGTCAGAGTTGTGACACTGTGGGCTAATGTGTCAGACTGCAAAATCATTTGTACTGCAAGGTCAGTGGTTCAAGCTCACCAGCTGCTCCTTGGAAACCCTATTCAGGGTCATTATGGGTCAGAGTTGTGACACTGTGGGCTAATGTGTCAGACTGCAAAATCATTTGTACTGCAAGGTCAGTGGTTCAAGCTCAC